ACAGTCCCCTCCTTCTAAACATCTGGCAGCCAGCAGTGATTTATGGAATTTGCTGTGTGCAGGCCATCACAGGGGATTGCTATAGAGAAATGCAAACGCGTGTGCTCCTGCCTTCAGATTAATTTCCATCAAAACTTGGAAAGAGAACATACCGTGGTTCTCCCCAGGGTACCTAGAGTTTAGTGGACACTCACATGTTTTTGAATATGTTAAATTTAGTTGTCAAAGACAGCTGGAGTGAATCAGGAACGATTGATCGAAAAAATGCATTTGTGGAAAGAGTTTTGCTAGGGGAAAAGGCATATTTTAGCTCAAAAAACGAATGCTTTGTGGAGAAGTATGGAGAAGGTTGTGCATGAAGACAAGGAATTAAATCAGACATTGCCCAGGGCTTTGTGTGGTATTTTTCTCTCTTGATCCTCACAGTAGCTTCCTGCCTTTCTATTCCCTGTGAGATAATTATTATCCAGATACTTGTTTAATACCTGAGAAAACCAAAAGTTGGAAAGGGTAAGTAATCTGTCCAAGGTCAACGGCTAGTTAGGAGGGTAGGTACATGGAGTGGAACCCAGGAATGTCTCACCATAAAGCCCACTGTCTTACATCGTCTGTAGTGCCTTAGGAGGGCCTCATGGTCTTGCATTTGTCACTAGGGTTTACCTGGCAAATTCTCAAGCCTTTGTCTATGTAGTGAAATATCAGGCCTAATTTTGGTTGCTGATTTTAGTGTAAATACATAAGTGCATTTTAAGTTTATATGTATATAGTATACATATGTATGTATATATATTTCTCCTGAGATATGTATGTGTATATGTCTCAGGAGAAAGCTGCATTCTCTAGGACAGTGCTACTCAAACTTTAATATGTGCGTGAATCACTTGGACGTTTTGTTAAAAATTCAGACTTTGATTTATTAGACTGGATTGGGGGCCTGAGATTACCGTCTAGGAGGCTCACTGGGCACACTGATACGGTGCTGATCCCTGGTCCACACTTCAGTGTTAAGGCTCTAGAAAGCATTTATAGTTAATCCAGTATGGGCTGTTTTCCCAAGTAGAGGTCTTTGGTGGAGTCTTTTTCTGGCCACTCAAACCTCTGGCTTTTTCCTTCTTAGGTGGCCCTGGGGTCCAGCTCTGCATCAGTGATGTACTGCCTATCCTGGCAAAAATCCTTCGTGGCCACAAGGCCGAGCCCCTGCATCTGTGCCATCGGCTGGACAAGGAAACTACAGGTGTAATGGTGCTGGCTTGGGAAAAAGAAGTGGCACATCAAGTCCAGGAGTTGTTTAGAACCCGGCAGGTGACCAAGAAGTACTGGTATGAAGCCCATTGATAGCGATCGAGGTGGTGTCAATGCAGGCATCCTTTTCATCCATTCGTTTAGCAGGAACCCCTGGTAATAGAAGGCGCTGTACTAGGACCTGTGGGCAAATAAAATGTGTAGAAATCAGATTTAGTGCTTAAGAGTGTTGGAGTCTGATAGCATAGTAGTTCCTAATTGTGGCTGTACATAAAAATTATTAAAAATTACTTCTACGAATAATGCATGATTTCATTCCTGTAGTAAAATGTCAGACAGCAAAGATAAAGCAAAAAACTTCTGGAGAATCCATTCTGTTGTTCTAGGTCCTTCCCTTGGGGTAGTTTGGTTTTTATTCCTCTGGTCTTTACTCAGCGTATTTATATCCGTGTCCAGCATATATACTGCGTGTGTATCTACATGCACACGTGTATGTATAGGTCTGTATCACATTGTACAGTGTACATTGTACTTTCTTTCCCACCTGACTCTCTTGGGGATTTTTCCATGGTAGTGTGTATAGATTTATCTATTTTTTTTTTAAAGCAGAAAGATACATCAGCAAAAATGAAACCTATTCCTGTCCCCCATCTACTCAGTTTCCTTCTCCAGAAGCAGTCAGTGTTTTTAGTGTCTTGTGGAAACTTCCAGACTTACACAGAGCCTGCATAGTGCCGAATGGCAGCTACTGTGCCCTGCTTTCCAGCCTTTTTTCACTTGGACAGTATATCTTGGAGAGCATTTTGTGCTGTACGTTTAGAGCTTGCTCTTTTTAATGGCTCTACTGTATGTTTTCATTGTATGGATATATTGTAATTTCCTTATTGATGATTGTTTAGATAAGGTCCCATTTTTCAGAGCCTATTGCAAGAATATGTGAGTATATCTTTAGGACAAATGTCCAGAAATATAATTGCTGGGTGGAAGCATGCACACATTTAAAATCTGACTAGTTACTACCTAAATTGCTTTTCAAAGTTGTGTCAGTTTGCACTCCCACTGGCAGTGGTTAAGTACCCACTTCCCATTATGCCTGACCAATGCATTTTTAAAAGATTTGCCACCCTGATGGACAAAAAACTATATATATATATATTTTCCCTGTGTAGTAGTGAAGTTGACTGTCTTTTTGTGTTTATTGGCTGTTTGAGTTTTCCTTTCTATGAATAGACCATTTTCCTTTGCCTACTTTGTATTGTTTATTATTTTCTATCTGATTTGTGATTCTTTTTTTTTTAATACTTTGGTTGCTAGTCTTTTTGTATTACAGATTTTGCAGCTGTTTCATAATCTTGGGAACCTTTAAAAAATCTATATGCTTGAGATCCACACATAGAGGTTATGATTTATAAGCCTGGTGGGTGTGGCAGTTGGGCATCTATATTGTAAAAAACACCACAAATGACTCTGATGTAGAATCGACTTTAAGAATCACTGTAATAAGAGATTACAGATAAGGGAGGAAGTTTAGCATGGTAGCTAAGAGCTCAAAAAGATCTGTGTTCAGTTCTCACCTGTGTCATTTACTAGTGTGGGACCTTCGGCAAATTACTGAACTTTTCTAAGCTTTGTCTTCATAAGAAAAAATGGGAATAATGGAGTTGATGAGGGAGTTAAGTGAGACAATGCATGTGAAGTGTTTAACACGGTACCTCCCTCATAGTAAAGGCCGAAAGATAGAAAATCAAGACTATTACTATGTATTTAAGTAATCAAAATGTAAGTATATAAAAACATGTTGTATTATCTGTGAAAATTGTCCATGGAAGTTCAGCATTGGTAGCCATTCTCAGCATCAGGCTTCATGGAGGAATTGAAATAATTAGTTGGGTCTTGATGAACGAAGAATTTGGTAGACGAGGTGGAGAAATGTGTTCTAGATTATGGGGACAGTGTGCACAAAGCAGTAAGTCATATCCTCCAGGGTGGCGAAGGGGATGCTGGCAGATAATGCTGGAAAGGTAGGTGGGAACCTAGTTAATGATGGTCTTAAATACCAGGTGCAGGAGATAGAATAGAAGTGAAACGTAGTAGGCAACTGACAAACATTTGCTGACTTACTATGACAGCAGTTTGTTATATTATAGTTATTTGTTTGAATCTTCTTCCTGGCTTGGAATTCCTCCAGACAAGGGATTTTTGTCTTGCTCACTCATCAGACCTAGTTACCTACCTTAACGGTGCCTGTTTACATTTAGTGAATACTTACTGACTGAGCGTTTCTGGGCAGTAGTGTTACGTCCCTAGGAAGGGCGATCTGGCAGTCACAGCTCTGTCAGTAGGGGAAAATGTGTCAGACAGCAGCCCAAACCACTACCAACCTGCAGCGGGGCTCCAGGGTGTGAAGTGTTACATCTGGATGGGCTTTTGACCCCTTGGCCGGTGATTCTGTGTTAGGCCACCAAGCAGCCAAGCCAGCTGATTAACGTGGAAGGGGCATAAACATAAGGACAGATGAAACAGTCTCCTACCTGTCTGTGGTGTGATGGGAGGAGTCCTCCCACAGGAGTGATTTGGAGTGACTTAGTGAGCCCTGGGTGTGGTTCCTGTGACTTTTCTGAGCCCAGAACCTCCCTGTTTTATCTACTTGGCAAATAGGGCAGGAGTGATCCTGTGAATTTTTCGTTCAGTTCATTCATTTATTCGTTTATTTCATATGCAACTGAAACTTACCATCTTTTATTATTTAAAAAGAAAAACAGGATACCAAACCATATTGCCCTAGTTTTATTTTGAACTATACACACTCACTTTTAAAGGCTGGATGAAAGACCATGTTAGCAATATAATTTTCTTTCTGTTTTTTTCCCCAAATATTCTACAATCAGCATGTATTACTTTAGCAGTAAAAAAAAAAAAAAAAACCCTGTAAGAATAGTGTCAAGCTCTTAAGCCAAGCACTGTAGCGAAAGATCATTAGGGATCCTCAAGTTTTAAGAACTGACCACAGTGCTGTAGAGGTCCGCTGTTAAAACCTCGAAGTAGGCAAATCCAAGGAGCTCCTCGCTCACCTTCGTGGCTTAAGCAAGGGCCTGTGTCTCCCTGCAGGGCCATCACCGTGCGTGTCCCGGTTCCTGCGGCAGGAGTCGTGGACATCCCCATCATCGAGAAGGAGGTGCAGGGCCAGCAGCAGCACCACAAGGTGGGTGAGCTGCCTCCAAAGAGGTGGGCGTTCTGCTCTTCCTTTAAAATCATATCTTGATTTCTTTGGCTTCAGATGACACTGTCCCCCAGCTACCACATGGACAACGGGAAGATGGTGAGAGTACGGCCCAGCCGGAATGCGCACCTGGCTGTGACTCAGTACCGGGTGCTCAGCAGCACCCTCTCCTCCGCCCTCCTGGAGCTCCAGCCTATTACTGGTGAGGGCGCCGCCGGTCTGCGGTGGGTGGCAAAGCCCCAGCGCTCCTGAGCTTCACCCGGGGCTTTGTGCTGGGTTCTGCCCTTCTTCTGAGCAGCTTAGCTTGTGCTGTGGGGGTGCTAGGGTCGCAGTTGGTGTTTGAGACTGTGCCTCTGATGCTGATCTGAGGCTGGGAGCGCCAGTAGGGATGATTGTTAAAAACAGGAGGTAGCAGAAGGGTATAAACAGTCTGCTTACATTTATTTAGAAATTTGCAAGTTGATTCTCAGAAAATGAAGCATAGAATTGCATGTGATCCAGGAATTCTGCTCCCTGTATATATGCAAAAGAATTGAAAACAGGGATTCAAAAAGATACTGCATACCCATGTTCGTAGCAACACTATTCATAAGAGCCAAAAGATGAAGACAACCCAAATGTCCATTAACAGATGAGTGGATAAATAAAATGTGGTCCTTCGTGCAGTGGAATATTATTCAGCCTTAGAAAGGAAATTCTGACACGTGCTGCAGTGTGGGTGAAGCTTAAAGACATGATGCTAAATGGAATAAGCCAGAGGCTTAAAGACAAATGTACAGTTCCATTAATGTGAGGTGCCTGGGGTGGTCAAATTCCTGGAGACAGATAGTAGAGGGGTGGTTACCAGGTCCTGGAAGGAGGAGGGAGGAGGGAGGAGGGAGTTATTGTTTCCTAGGGACAGAGTTTCCGTTTGGGGTGATGAAGAAGTTCTGGAAACGGATGCTGGTGGTGGCTGCACAACAGTGTGAGTGCATTTAATGCCACTGAACTGTACACTTCAGAAGTGTTAAAATGGTAAATTTTATGTATATTTTACCACAATAAAAAATAAATGCGCAAAATAATACTATTTCGTGTTATACAGTAAAATTAACTTTTTTAAAAAAGCGTGGCAGTGATAGACACCAAGTTGATGATAATCGTTATCTGTGGTGGAAAGGGGACCTGTGAGGGGGGAAACTTGGAGGCTTAACAGTATTTATAATGTTTATTTGCTAATAGCTTATAGTTACATTATTCTTTATTGCAGCTGGGGCTTTGCCAGTGTTACTGTGCTTTGATTTAATATGATCAGAAGCAGATGCCGCCAGCAGGGTTGTTTCTGTAGCTGCTCGAAGTTTCCTCTCTCTCTCTTTTTTAAAGGGATAAAACATCAGCTTCGAGTTCACTTGGCTTTTGGGTTGGATTGCCCGGTCCTCGGTGATCACAAGTACTCAGACTGGAACAGGCTGGCCCCCCAGGTAATACTGGTTTGAGCCAAATGCAGCGGGGGCGGGGGGGAATAAGGGCGGGAACTTCTGCTTTCCCCTCATTAAAGGCGGGGCCCTGAAGTGAGTCGCAGCAAAGGCGTGTCGATTGTCTCCAGACAGGGTGCCTTGCTAGTTCCCTGGCTTACGTAGCAATCCGGAAGCAGTCAGCCCCGTCCTCGTGGAGCTGCAGGATGTGCTAGCAGAACACCTCTGCTTCATTGTTTACACTCAGATTTGCGGGCGGCGGGGGACGACTTTCTGAAGGCTCAGAGCAGCCTTTCGTGCTACTGCTGAAGAGCCTCGGTGGAAGCGTTTTTGGGTTTTGCCATTAAGCTCATTCTCTTGGAAGGCCAGAGAACTGGTCAAGGAGAGCTTCCCTGGTGTGGTGGGTTTTCTCTTACGTGGGTTCTGAACCCTTCCTGGAAGTGGCCCTGAAGCAGGCTGTCTGTCCCTGTGTCTTCTGGGGGTTGGTGAGGAGGCCCCGTGAGTGGAGGTCTTCTGCCCCGCCTGCCGGTCAAGGAGGACCCGTCAGCCTTGCTCTCACGAGCGCTTTTCTTTGTGCAGAAGCTGCCTGTCGGGATCCTGAAGAAGCTGGGGCTGCCGCAGTCCAAGGCCCGCCACGTCCCCCTTCACCTGCATGCCCGCCAGCTGACCCTGCCTGCCCTGCAGTCCGGGAAGGAGGAGCTCAGCTTGGTCTGCAAGCCTCCTCTCTACTTCGTGCGTTCCCTGCGCCATCTGGGCTTAGGGATCCCGAGTCAGGATCAAAATGGGGACGAGGATGCCGCACACCCAGGAGGGCGGTGAACACTGTTGGGCAGTTTGCCCTGAGTTCTTTGCTTTGTTTAAGGACCTCTGCTGATTTCTCGCTTGGGACAGACTCCAGAAGAGCCAGGTGTGATGAGCTGGAGAAACAGCTGCCTCAGGCTTTTACTGGAGATGAGCGTCTGGTTACCCCCACCTTGGCCATGCTCTGGAGAAGTCAGCGCAGTCTCCCCGCCTCAGAGTGGAAGGGAGCGTAGGACCAGGCAGGTGGGTCAGTAATCAGAGAAGGAAAACTAAAGCACAAAATCTGTGATCAAGAACCGTTTTCATCCAACAATAAAGCTCTTGATGCATCAGGAGAGTTCCTGTGGTTGGAAAGGACAGAATGGTCATCTCGCTCAGAGAAACTCAGAAGCGCCGGCTGCATCCTCATGGAGCTGCAGGCTCTCTCAGCAAAGCCCCTGCTTTGTTTGATTAGTCTCGGACTTTGTAGACACTGATCATAGACTCAGGGATGTTCTCTAGCCTCAGCCTGGGAGCCTTGCTGTGCTGGTGACAGTGGAGCCTCTGAAAGGGTGTTTGGTGACCAAGGAAAGCAGGTGTAAATGGCGGCAGGTCATGGAAACGTGTGAAGCAGGCAGGGTGTCAGGCCGTGGGGGCAGCACCCACGTCTCGAGGGGCAGTTGTTAACCTCAGCTGAGTTGCTATGTGGGAACAGATTCTCTAATTATTTCAGACAGTCAGGAAACCCAGATGTTTATGTGAAATCTCTGAGTATCTTGCCAACTAAATCAAATGTTTAAAAAACACTTGGGCAGCCAAGCAAATCATATTTGCAGGTTGGACCTGGTCTGTGGGCTACCTCTTTGCCATCCGTGTTTGAAGAATGGGGTAGGAGTTTGGGGAGAGGTGCCATCGTGAAAGTTCTGGATCAGTGGTTGGCATTTTAGCTCCACGTAGTATCTGTCCTTTCTAGAGCAGGGGATGGCTTTGGTTAAGCTGTAAATGTGTGGCCGTGAGGGTGCCGCCATCCTCTGATCCTGGTTTTGGAAGCAAGCCTCCTATTCTTGGGTCTCAGGAAGGAGGTGCTGAGCTAAGTACCCCTCGGGAGGAGATGATCTCAGCCACGCCACTCAATTGTCCAGCTAGCTCGCATCTTCTTTCTTTCAACAGTGCAATCTCGCAGATGGATACACCTCACGTTACCTTGGGCTGAGCTGAGCAGAGTTGGAGTGACAGCCCGTTGGGGAACAGCTTTTATGTGCTCGCTCTCTGTTGATACCACGACCGCCTCAGCCCCCTTCCCTGTTTCCAAGATGCCTGTTACCATGCACGATGGATTTAACTTTAGAAGCACACATATCATCACTGTTTACCTAAAGCCTAACAGTGTTGGCTGTTGCTTCTACTTTTAGTAAACCATGCTTCTTGAGATAAAGGTGGAAGAATGTGATGTTCAGAAAATACTCATAGTTGACTTTGAATTGGGGAGAAAATTGAAGAGGACCCCTGGTTTTGTGAGTGTTTGGAGAAATCCCAGGCACCCGGGAAAGTACTGCCAGGCACCAGGCAGGAGCCATGTCCGGACGCAGAGCAGACCTGGGCTGCAGGTGTCGGTGGTCGGAACAGGTGGGACAGCCTGCAGGAGTCTTCTCGCAGCATTCACAGCTGCTGCGGCGGGCGGGGCAAGGAACGGTGCTCTTGCCTTTCCTGCCCGCGTTTTCTTAGTCCTGCCGGGTGAGGTAGCTGTCTTTAGTCATGAGGATGGTCTGCGAGAACTCTCGCCCCAGGTCGCTGTGGCCTGGGGAGCTGGCCCGCAGGAGGCTGGAAAGTGCCTGAGATGAAATACTGGCTAGAACCAGTGGCAAGACTGAATTTAGTATTAAGTCAGAATTAATAAGGAAAGAGTTTTTCAGTTCTTTTCTTAAAAGTTCCACATGTACGTGATTTTTTTAAAAATCTAGAACTAAAAGGCTTATAATGGGAAACTGTGTCCCTTGCCCATTTGGGGCTTTTATTTTTAGCTCCCCCCAAATGCCCACTGAGAGCCTCTGGGACAAGCCAGTTGTATTTCGGGGGGTCAGAGGGTGGGCTCACCCCAGCACCCCTTGCTGCAGGTAGCCTCCCGGGCTGCTGGTCAGCAGGCAGGTTTTTCCGGGCTGGGCGCCCGCACTCCTGGCGAGTGACCAGCCGTGGCTGTCTGTATAGGTGCCTCCCTCAGCTGGAGCCTTAGGGTCCTTTCAGACAAGTGGCCCTGAGATATTTCTGCTCACTTCCTCTCTGGTGCCCCACTTGGCACACACTCACCTGCTATGATCCACAGCGGTGAGAATGGGGTTCTAATCAGGGTGATCACACTGTAGGCTGAAGCTCTTCTTTCCTGCTGTGGATTCACACTTACAGTCAATGCATCCTAAATACACAGGCGCCTGGGCAGCAGTAACCAGGCTCAAAGTGCAGCTTGGAAGTAGAATGAATGGGTGCAGCTGACTGGGAACTGATGGATGGGGTACATGGAGAGTCTTGGATGACTCTCAGGGAGTCCGAGTGGTGGGACAGATGAGGTGGGTTGACAAAAAATGGGGGAAGAAGAGGCTTGGGGTGGCCCTGCCAGTCTGATGTGAGTGCCATTATACATCCACGCATCCAGGAGGGAGGCCGGAGGTCGCGCGTTACCCTGTGTTCCCAGAGTACCGCGAGCGAGCTTTTCCCAGCGTCATCGTCCCACAGTGACAACAGAGCATCTTCATCGTTTCCTGGGACTACATCTGCCTCCTCCCAGCCCATGAGCTTCTTGAGGGCAGGCACCAAGGCGTTCATCTTTATGCCTTTGGCCCCGAGCCCTATACCTGTGAACCCTCAGAAAGTGACTCCTGAACAGAGAGACCGCCCTAGGGCTGTGGTGGTTCTCAGGCTCTGGAGCCAGATGGGCTCTGGGTTCAAATGATGGGTCTACTGTTTATTTGCTATGACTGTGGATAACTGATCTCACTTATCTGGGTCTCAGTTCAGGCACCCACAAAATGGGTATGATAATAATTCCTCTATCGCACATATTTTAAGGATTAATTGAAATCATTCACGTTAAGTTCCCAGAAGAGTTCCTGACATACGGCAAGAGCCCAAATAACATAACACATTAGGTTAAAACAGGTTAAATTTGCCATTTAAAAAACATTTTTATTGAGGTGAAATTCACGTACCATAAAATTCATCCATTTAAAGTAATTCTATGGTTTTAGTATATTTCCAGAACTGGACAGCTACCACCACGATCTAATTTTAGAATATTTTTGTCCTCCTCAAAGGAAGCCTGATACGGTTCAGCAGTTGCTCCCCGTTCCCACTCCCACTCCCACCCACCCAGAGCCAGCCACTGACCTATTTTCTGCCTCTAGATCTACCTATTCTGGATACTTAACAGAGTCATGGAATTTGTGATCTTTCGTGCCTCTTCCACTCAGTGTGATGTTTTCAAGGTTCATCCTGTTGTAACGTGTCAGTATTTCACTTCTTATTGCTGAGTAATACTCCGTGGTATAAATATGCCAGATTTTGTTTATCCAGTCATCAGCTGATGATTGTTTCCACTTTCTGGTTGTTATGAATCATGCTGCTATGAATAGTCGTGTAAGTTTTTGTGTGGATGTGTGTTTGCATTTCTCTTGGGTACATAACTAGGAGTGGAATTGCTGGCTCCTACGGTAACTCGAGGTCACTCGGTCACTCTGCTTAATACTTTGTAGAACTGCCAGACTGTTTCCCAAAGCGATTGCTCCATTTTACACGCCAGCAACAACGTCTGACACCCAGTTTCTCACCGACACTTCTCATTACCATCTTTCTGACTATGGGCAGCCTAGTGGGTGGGAAGTGGTTTCTCACTGTGGTTTAGATCTGCCTTTCACTGATGACTTATGATATCAAGAGTATTTTCATGTGTTTATTAACCATTTGTATGTTTTGCTTGGAGAAATGTCTTCAAATCCTTGGCCCATTTTAAAATTGGGTTGTCGTTTTATTATTAAGTTTTTCTAAAAGTTCTTTATGTATTCTGGATGTCAGTCCCTTATCAGATATATTATTTGCAAATATTTTCTCCCCTTCTGTGGATTGTCTTTACACATTTTTAATGATAACATTTGCAACACCAAATTTTTAATTTTGATGTCAAATTCTCATTTCCTTTTGTTGATGGTGCTTTTGGTGTCATATATAAGAAAACACTGCCTAATCCAAAGTCATGGAGATTTCCTCCTATTTTTTCTTCTAATAATTTTCTAGTTCTAGTTTCTAGTTTGGGCCTATGATCCATTTTAAATAAATTTTTGAGTATGATGTATTAAGGTGTCCAACTTTGCATGTGGGTAGCTGGTGGTCCCAGCACCATTAGTTGAAAAGATTATTCTTCCTCCCATGGAATTGTTTTGATAAACTTCCATTTTTGAAGGTCACACAGGGCCAAATACAGATAATTTTATAGGGTACAATTTAGTTGTATTACAGTATTAATGTAAGTGAAGCAAAATGAGAAGTAGCTGCAGTTTATTGTTTTGCCACCAGATGGCAGAAGTCTCCCAGATTTATGATCCCTCTCTGGGCTGAAAGTGAGAACGGGTATGAATCAAATACATCAAGTATTCACCATAATAGTGGTTCCTTGTCTTTCTCTAACCTGATACTTCTGATGCTGGCTACCCCAGTGTTGTAAATCTCAGTCCTTTATTTTTTTAGTTAGCTTAAACATGGCATTTTCTGTTCTCAGATGGAGAGTGAGATGGGATGGAAATCATGGTTTAGGTTCCCCGAGTATCTTCAAAATAGAATTTGACTCATAAACACTCAGTTATGAAAGTACTACAACTTCATTATAGAAACGTGGAACCTGTGATCAAGCTGTTCTCAGCCATCAAAAAGCCTAACAGTGCACTCAGATAAGGATATGTCTTAGGTAGGATGGCAAAGTGACACCCAGCCCTGTACCGGGAGCCCCATGTTACCAACCCCAGGTCTGTGTTATGGGGTCTGCTTAACTGCCTAGATCTGCCTAGACCACAGCACATCCCTGGCACACCAGGGGCAGAGAAGGAAGAAATGAAAGTATGAACCTGAAAGCCTTACCTTCCTTTCAGGAATAAATACCTTCTGCTCTGGCTCACTGGCCCCTCTTGCCTGTTTCTCAAAGTATCAGCAGTTCTGAATTCCCAAAACCTACCCCGGAGGAGCACTGCTGCTTCCACACCTCTGCTTCCTGGCTGAACGTGGGGTCGAAGGGCCACCTTTGCCTCCCTGTTCCCCTAGAGACCGCAGGTCTGCTCTGTGAATCCTGTCCACGGGGCCCACTCCATGTTCTGCAGTTTCCATTCGTTTATAATACATTGCTGCTTTCAATTTTTCACCAAAAAAACAAAAGCGCCTAATGGAAACATGCATTTACACACCATGTGCTTGCATGGCTCCACTGAAATGACACATGTTCTTCTCTTTTGGCAGCTTTTATTTTGGTTCATTGTAGTAAAAAACAATGCAATCTCTTTGTTGATCAGAAGCACTAATTGATAGTTATGAATGATTTTGACTAATAAAAACAGGGCAATATAATGTTATGTAATAAGTAACGGGGAAATAAAGAGGGCAGGTTTGGAAGCCTGTGCTGCAATGATGCATTTTAGGCAGGTGACACGTGTGAGCAGCTGCCACCTTTCCCTCCCCAGTTCCCCCGCCCCGGCACGCCTCCCCCATGCTCCCCACAGCCTTTCTGGCAAGTCCTCAGGCCCCTCCCCTCTCCCACACCTCCTACCCGCATCTGTGGGCTCTGAACCCTAGCATCAGAGTGGACTGTGCACCTCCTTTTCTCAGCACCCACTGACCAGACTGTCCCGGGGGAGCTGCCGGGGTCGGGTGCAGGAACGGGGCAGCAGCGGGAAGCCCCAAGGCCTAGCTCAGGCCGTGCTAACCCGAAGCTAGTCTTTCAACACTCTGGGAGCTATTACCGTCTGTCCGTCAGCAGCTTCAAGGAGCCAGGAGTGATGACCTGGACCCATTCAGGGAGCAGGCAAGGGGAAGGGGTCCCCACTTTGATGTGAGCTACAAGGTCAGGGAGGGAGCAGGAGGTGAGGGCCGGGCTGGGGTGGGGTGGGGAGGGGCGGCTGCTGGAGGCCATCTCCTCCCCCATCCAGGCGTCAGGCTCGTCTTCCTCACCCCTTTCATGTCTCCTTCTCTGGGGCCAGGCCTCTGGGCTGCTCTGGGCTCCCTGCCCCACACCTCCAGCCAGTGTCCCAAATGTGGCCCCTACGGCTGGCCCACACACCCTCCTTGGACGGGTAGGGAGGGATGGTGGCCAGGGGAGCACCTGGGGTGGGGACCAAACCCACCTATTTAATTTGTCATTGATTCTAAGGGCCAGGTGGTAACGGTTTCATGCATGAAGCACCCAGCGTGAGAGTCAGAGAAGAGAATCTTCCCTTAAGAACCGAGATCCCAGGGCTGGGAGGGGCCTCGGCGGGGGGGAGGCGGGTGGGCAGCCTCTACCTCCAGCTACAGGCAGCTGTCCAGCTGGCCTTACACACTCGCACTGCCGGGAGCACCGTCTCTGGAGGTTCCCACCCTAGTGGGTGGGGGGAGAAGATGAGAGAACAGGGAGGGAGGGAGATGGACAGAAGGACAGATGGGGGAGAGCCCCAATGGCTGCCCCAGAGTCACACACGCACACACGCACGCACATGCACCCCAGGGCCTCCGAGAGCCAGGCCTGAAAGGCTGCCAGCTCATCCTGGCCCAGCCGGGGAGTCTGGCCTTGTTCCTGTCTAAAGTTACAGAATTTTCCAGAAGTTTCCCCGTTTTTTTTTCCTCTGGAGTTATAAACCAGATTTCTCCTGTCCCCCTACTTCTCTGGCCTACAGAAGAAAAGCCAAAGTGGGGAAGCAAGCAGGCAGAGGGCCTGTGGCCACACGGAAGGCTGACCCGTCCCTCCCTCCTACTCC